ACAGCAGCAGCAGCAGCAGCAGTTGGGTGTTGCTGCTGCTGCTGCTGCTGGTGTCTCACTGCTGCTCTTTCTCTGTGTTCTCTGTATTTCTGCTGCGCCTCCTTTGTTGCTGCTTGCTGCTGCTGCAGCAGCAAACGGGTGTTTGTACACTCGGCCTGCATGCATGCATACAGAGTGGATATCTCTTCTTCTTTGTTTTCTTTCTTTCTTCTTTTCTTTCTTTTCTTATGCTGCTCGGCAACTGATACAGCTGAGGTGTATAGGCAGCTCAGCTCAGGTGTATAGGCAGCTCGGCTCAGGTGTATAGGCAGCTCAGGTGTATAGGCAGCTCGGCTCAGGTGTATAGGCAGCTGAGGTGTATAGGCAGCTCGGCTCAGGTGTATAGGCAGCTCGGGTGTATAGGCAGCTCGGCTCAGGTGTATAGGCAGCTCGGGTGTATAGGCAGCTGAGGTGTATAGGCAGCTCGGGTGTATAGGCAGCTGAGGTGTATAGGCAGCTGAGGTGTATAGGCAGCTCAGGTGTATAGGCAGCTCAGGTGTATAGGCAGCTCGGGTGTATAGGCAGCTCGGGTGTATAGGCAGCTCAGGTGTATAAGCAGCTCGGGTGTATTGGCAGCTCGGGTGTATAGGCAGCTCAGCTCGCCTCCTTCTCACGCAGACGGCTGAACAGCAGCTCCTCTTGTTGTGCTGCTGCTGCTGCTGTTGCTGCTGCAGCTGTTGCTGCTGCTGCTGTTGTTGCTGCTGCTGCTGCTGCTGGAGCAGTTGATGCTTCTGCGGTGTATAGACCTGAAATATAAAAAAAGTAACAGCAAAGGGTTTATTTTTTTTTGTCTTTGTCTCCTCTCTTTCTCTCTTTATTTATTAATTTATTTATTTAATCTATTTATTTATTTGTTTATTTATTTACTTATTTATTTATTTGTTTCTTTCTGTTTCTCTTTATCTGTCTCGCTGTTTGTCTCCTTTGCCTGCATATGCAGATGTCTCTCTCTGTCTCTTTATCTCTCTTTCTCTCTGTATGCATATTTTTTTCTTTTTTTTTTGTTTCTCTCTTTCTTTTTTTTATTCTTTTGTTTTGTTTTTTGTTGTCGTCTGCTCTCTATTTTTTTAATTTTTAATAACATTTATTTATTTATTTATTTTATTTTTTTTTGTTTTTTTATTTTTGCATGCGGTGTATCGACATCCCTTCTACTGCATGCATGCAGGCATGCAACTTATCTATATTTTTCTGTCTTTTGTTGTTCTATACTATACTATACTATACTATAATATATATA